GCCCCCTGGTCCAAAACAGTCCCGTGGCACCTTTAAAGACCAAGTTTTATTCAGGTACAAGCTCTCTCTCCTGTGAGAGGACAGATCTGCACATTCCCCCCTCCCCCCAATAGCTAGCAATCCAAAACAGTCCAGTGGAGCCTGAGTGGTGGGTGTTGCCTTCTGACACACTTCCGGTGATGTCAGGGGGTGTGACATATGCAAGTAAGGTATGCTAATGAGTTATGCTAATGAGCTCCTACACCTCTTTTTCTACGAAATGACCCCTGGTATTCGCTCTTGAGGTTGCTAGTCCTCATTGCCACGGATGACATCTATATGTAGGGAGGTATGGAGAGGCTACCAGTCAACCGGCCAGCAACCCTCTGATGAACAGGCCATAAATAAGCGTGTTATGAAAGCAGCCAGCCAACCACATTTTAATGGTAACTTTGTCAGGTCTGCAGTCACAGCTTTGGACTTGGGAGCACTCGCAGTGCCATCCTAAGCAGAGGTTCACCTTCGCAAGCCCACTGACTTCAATGGACTTAGAAAGGTACAACTCTGCTTAGGACTGCATGGGAAATCAGTTCCCCTTCTTATATAAATTCATGAAAGGTAGCTAGATACCAAACCACCTGGCACTTTTAAAGGCGATAATTAGAACTACCCAGGGCTCTTTTTGTAGAAAAAGCCCAGCAGGAACTCATTAGCATAATAGGCCACACCCAACATCTGAAACTCATTAGCATATTAGGCCACACCCCTGCCAGCACAGCTCATTAGGACGCACCCCCATGTTACCAGAAGTGTGGTTATCCAGCCACACCCACCTTTTGCTTGTTATTGTTTACCTTGTTTGCTGTCAAAACGCAGGGCTTTTTTTGTAGCAGGAACTCCTTTGCATGTTAGGCCACACACCCCTAATGAAGCCAATCCTAATGGATTTCTGCTGTTGGGTGTGGCCTATAATGCTAATGAGTTCCTGCTGGGCGTGGCCAACTTGGGAGCCAGCCGGAACTCTGTTCCTGTGCGTTCCTGCCCAAAAATAGCCCTGGAACTACCATAGAAGACTCTCACACAAATAGCAGTGGTGGACGAAAGTAACACGCTCTCTCCTCACCTAAACCTTCTTTGATCTAGCAAATATTGATAGCTTGTTATTTAAGGGAGGAACTGAGGCAGCACCTACACCCTTTATTACCTGTTCCCACAGCTTCATACTGAGATGATTAACCTGAAGTTTAACCTACATCAAAACAAAACAGAAAAAGCTTTCCAGGACCAGAGCAGGAAGCATATAGTTACGCCATCATAATCCTTGTATTTTAGCTTTGCTCTGTGCAACTAAACTCGGGTTTCCCAAAGCCATGCGGAAAAGAAAGTAATAATAATAATTATTATTGTATGGCATTGTGTGTAGAGCAGCCGGGAGATCCTAAGATTGTCTGGCAGCCAGATGTTCTAGCTCTTTTAGCGTTATGCACCAGTAGGTGGTGAGCCAGCCTTGTTTTTAAGGCAAGAGACATTCCAGAGGTGGTTCGCCACTGCCTGCCTCTGGTATTCCTTGGAGGCTGCCCTTCCAAATACTAGCCAAGGCTGACCCTGCTTAGCTTCCGCGATCTGATGGGATTGGGCTAGCCTGGGCTATCCAGGTCAGGGGTAGAAAAGAAAGTGGCGTACCGTGACTATGGACACTGCAAAGCCTGGAAATCTGCCACATTTCCATTCCACCCTTCCTCTGGAGAGCTCAGGGCAGTCTATGTGGGTCTCCAGTCTATCCTTATAACTACAGTCCTGTGTTGTAGCTTAGGCTGAAGGTGCGTGGCTGGCCCAAGGTCACCCAGTGGAGCTTCCAGGGCAGGGTGAGGATCTGAGCTTGGGTCATTCTAGTCCAACACTACGGTGGCTGGGAAAAGAAGAGAGCATTGCCTGCACTTCCTGTTCCAAAAGCTGTCCATTTAGGAGACAGCACCATAACGCAGGCAGGGGAGTTGAAAAATCAGGAGTCATTCTTGCTGCTTTTCATGTTTTTGGCACTAATTTTTGCAAGGCTCCCTCCACTCCCAGCTTTGCACAGGAGGGGGGGGGGGAACAACCATTGTGTGGCTCTCCTCCATTCCATGCACCGACTTCAGTAGTAGCTGCCAAGATGCAAACGTGGTCAGTTGGTCATGCTTAAGTGTTCCCATCCTAAATCCCCTGTACAATGGCCTGTGCCGAACTGAACGCCCTGCCCCCCGCCTTTTTAAGGAGAAGTGCACACATGGAAACAACAAAAACACTTTCCCCCGCCAGCCCAGGATGCCTCTTCACAACAGTGCTAACTTACAAGTATTCTGTTTCCTTGTGGGCCCTCTTCTGCATTAGGAACCTTCCCGGGTGACCTGGCTCTACACAAGAGAGGACTTCTCCCACTTTCTCCCTGGCAAGTTAACTCTTATTGTCATTTTAGGAGACTGGGCGGTTTTTGTTGGCGTTTTTACAATGGGACGTTTTCTGAGGCACAGTTTTAAAACAGAAGGCCAGCGTTACTTTCTCCTTCTCAGCACTTTGAAGCCGTACGCCCATCTGTCTGGCGCTGAGAAAAACTTGTAGAAGTGTCTCGGTAAAACGGTAAAACAGTGGACAGAGGTTTCAGATGCGGTTATGACTTCTGTGTGACAGAACCTGCAAATACATTCTGGGGTCTTGCAAAGAGTTCAGTAGAGTTGAATGACTTCTTCCCACTCATCAATGGGCCAGATCCCATTGGGCTGCACGTTGGGCGGCGAGTTCTTCCAGTCCCACTCCTTCACTGGCGTCTTCCACTCTTGACCGTAGTTGGCTTCGATGTACTGGAGGGGTTCACATGGTACACGCACCTTTAATTCTACAAACTCGGTCCAACATAGTGTGAACTTGGGAAACAGGTACCTGTGGTTCAATGGGGGCAGAAGATCAAGACAAAAGGAGTAATTTTTTAAAAATGCACTGCATTTCCCATGCACTGCATTGTTGCATCTTTAACATTCAGTGTGGAGGAACTGCAAATGAACGATGCTGCGTATGTGTTTAAAATAATAATCTTGCAGCAAGAATTACCTGATTTCTGCAACTGGTATAAATTACGCAAGCTTCTCTGTAAAGTAAATTAAATACATTTTGGCCAGAGTAAGAGGAGATAATATGCTGTCCCAGGAATTCTGATGCCAACAGAATGGTATCCATTTCTCTGGCCCATTTCTATTGACCCAAAGATAATTTCCACTTCCCTCCTTGAGGTTTTCCCACTGTTTCTATCTTTTGAATAAATCAGAGTAATTAATTTTGTCATTTAAGGGGGGGGGAAGGGGATTACAACCCTGGAGTTGTTGTGGTATGGTGGAGAGAATGCTGGACCAGAAACAGAGCTGGACTGGGTTCAAAACTTGACTCGGCTATGAAGTTTCACTGGCACAGATGTTCTCTCTCTGCCCGGTCAACCTCACAACCTTATTCTGAGGATGAAATCAAACAGACCCTGCGCAGACCACTCTGAATTGTCTTGGAGGAAGCTCTGAAGCCTGCGCAATTACAGTTTCTGTTCACAAAGAAGGATCAGCAGCAGACAGAAAGGAAGATTCACGTCCCTCATCTGCTGCACTGCACAGGATGACCACTTGGCCTGGAAACGAGCAGTCCACCAAGACCCTCCCCATCTCTTCCCCAGTCAGCAAACAGTGCAGCTGTCGTGTTCCAGCAAAGCTGTCATCACAGAGCTATTTGGCCTCTCTTGCCTCTGACCACTGTGGCAGACGTTGCAGCTAAAACAGAACGTGCGGAGAAATGGCACGGAGATCCAAACAGCGTGCTGGAAAGGGTGCAAAGGTCTTTTCACCTTCCATGAGAAACTTTAAAAAAAACAAACCCAAACATCTAAGACAATACAAAACTCTCTCCTGCTGCAAGGCACAATTACAAGTCCTTTGGGGGTTACAAACCAAGGTGGAAAGAAAAAAACAATCAAACCTCAAGCAAACCATTAAGCTCAGGAAAGAACCCCGGGGGAAGAAACTTCTGCTAACTTCCCATCTGCCCCTCCTGCTTGTAATTTCTATTTAACTAGCACGACATTGGACTTACTTAGCACCTGTTTAACAGATTAGATTTCAAGTCTACTGCTGGTTTTAGAAGAACACATAATCTGCAGGTCTTACAAGAGCTGGATATATCGCTAGCTGAGACAGCCACCTGCTTCTACTCTACTTCCCTTTGCTCCGGGCATTATGGATAGGGCAGAACGTGTGGCGTTTTTGCCCTTCCTGCAGTCACTTTACTACTTTCAGCAGCGGTTTTCAAACTTTCTACCCTCTGGGAACCTTTCCCCACATCCTCGGCCAAGGAAGTCCTGCATGTCTGCTGCAGAACCCCAGCATCTTGCAAAGGATTCTGGGCCATGTTCCACAGCACTCCTAATTAGGACCCAGAGCTTGCTAGGCCTCAACTGTTGCCCCAGTGGGATTGTGACCTAGAACTCATCCACCCTTTTTCATTGGACGTGATGAGTAACTGCCTGAGGGAAATCTGTCCACCATAACTGATATTTAAACACTGGGGAACCCATGAGAAGCTTCCATGGAGCCTCAGGGCACTGCTGTTTGAGAACCACCTTCAAAGGGCTTAATTGTTTGACATAATCGTCCCCTGGGCACCCATCTGCTGCTACCCATAGAGCTCCATGCTGTTTGTTAAGATCATGTCACGTCTGCAATTCATGAAGCTCATGTTCCTCCCACCACAGATACCAAATCCGAGTCGTACTTGAATTTTTTGCCTGATTTGGCCTGAGTTCCTCCGTTCCACATGTGGTCCTCCTCTTCATAGAAGAAAAAAATGTCAAGCTTCACATCACCTTCTCCCTGAAAGGAAAGCTCCAAGCTGTCTTCTACCTGGCAGGGAGACAAAAAAAATATGCACCTCATAGGACACAGAGAAGACAACAAGAGGTGGTGAACCCAAGCGCTGAAAATACCAAGAGGTTTATAGGCTGCCACAATGGAATTTATATCCTGCGCGGCCATTTTAAAAAGAAGTTTCCGGATAGGACTGATCAAAACCATAAATGCCCAAATTCTGAAACTATAACAGTATTTTCCACCTGATTTTCCCACTCACGTTACATTCGACTCTCGACAGAGCTCTGATGTCCCAGTCTGAAAATAAGATGTAAATAATCAGAGGTCCTTTCTCAAAAAAGACAACAGCCTCTTGGTTTCTAAGTTAGTTTCAGATATTGCTGGGCTTCACTTGTGGTTGTGCTTGAGAACCACCTTCAAAGGGATTAATTGTTTGACATAATAGTCCACTGGGCACCCATTTGTTGCTACCCATATATCTGTTTGTTAAGATCATGCCATGTTTGCAATTCGTGAAGCTCATTTTCCTCCCACCACAGATACCAAATCCGAGTCGTACTTGAATTTTTTGCCTGATTTGGCCTGAGTTCCTCCGTTCCACATGTGGTCCTCCTCTTCATAGAAGAAAAAAATGTCAAGCTTCACATCACCTTCTCCCTGAAAGGAAAGCTCCAAGCTGTCTTCTACCTGGCAGGGAGACAAAAAAAATATGCACCTCATAGGACACAGAGAAGACAACAAGAGGTGGTGAACCCAAGCGCTGAAAATACCAAGAGGTTTATAGGCTGCCACAATGGAATTTATATCCTGCGCGGCCATTTTAAAAAGAAGTTTCCGGATAGGACTGATCAAAACCATAAATGCCCAAATTCTGAAACTATAACAGTATCTTCCACCTGATTTTCCCACTCATGTTACATTCGACTCTTGACAAGAGCTCTGATGTCCCAGTCAAAAAAGACAACAGCCTGTTCGTTTCTAAGTTAGTTTCAAATATTGCTGGGCTTCACTTGTGGTTGTGCACTATATTGCCCACCTATGTACTCAACAACAAGGCAATTACATTACACAGGAAACGAGATCTGGATTCAATCCCTGCTGCTTTGCTTCACAGCCTAAGGCTGAAATCCCATACATATTTACCAGGAAGTAAACTCCTCTGAACTCAGGTGCCCTTTAAATGTTACATTAGCATTTTGAGAGTTACTTTCCATGTGTTCATTCCCATGGCACCAAAGTAACGTTTAAAGGTCCACAATGAGACAAGCAGGACCAACAGCATGGGTTCACTAGCATGGAAAAGCATGACCCCCCCCCCCAAGCTAGGTGACAAATCTACCTTAAGGAACTGCACCACCGGCCATTCCACGCAGTTGCAGAGACTGAAGTATGTCATTAGCACGGTGGGATACACTGATGGAAAAACTGTTCCTGTGTAACATTTCAAGCGCAGCTCGCTTCTAAGTAAATATGCAAGGCAAGGATGCAAAATAATTATATTTTTAAAAATAATAATCCAATTTAATAAAAAGAAAATACATTATAGGTGCAAGGCCAACGTGTCTATCCGAACCACAAAAAACATGTGAAATTAAGGATCCTATAATCTCATGCTCTGCTGCAAGATCCATTTGCTGCCCAACCCTAAACCAAAACTGGACGTATCTTTGTTTTGCAGGCAGGCTGTTGATTTTCACCAATGCAAAGGTTTCTTTTACTTTCATCAGCCAATCATGAATATCTGGACCTGGGTTTTTTTGCTCCCAGTTCCTGGCAAAGACCAATCTGGCTGTGGTAATCAGATGAAAAACTACTGCTTGAAGATTTTTAGGTATGTCAACTACACAATTTAGCTGCAAGATACCTGGCTTATTGAAAATTCTGTCTGTTCAATTTCACTTATATAATTTCCACCACTTGTTTCCTGCTCCCTATTTACATATCCACCACACACATACCCATCACAATTGTTGTTGTTGTTCAGTCGCACAGTCGAGTCCGACTCTTCGCGACCCCATGGACCAGATCACGCCAGACCTTCCTGTCTTCCGCCGTCCTCTGAAGTTGGCTCAATTTCATGTTCGTTGCATCGATGACACTGTCTAACCATCTCATCCTTTGCCGTCCCCGTCTTCTTTGACCTTCTATCTTTCCCAGCATCAGGGTCTTCTCCAGTGAGTGCTCCCTTCTCATTTGGTGGCCAAGGTATTTGAGCTTCAGTTTCATTATCTGGCCTTCCAGGGAACAGTCAGGGTTGATTTCTTTTAGGATTGACTGATTTGATCTTCTTGAAGTCCAAGGGACTCTCAAGAGTCTTCTCCAGCACCATAGTTCAAAAGAATCTATTCTTCGGCGCTCGGCCTTCCTTATAGTCCAACTCTCGCAGCCATACAGTACTACTGGGAATACCCATCACAGTAGGTGATATGAAAGACCTCTGCCTGAGACCCTGGAGAGCTGCTCCCAGTCTGACTAGACAACACCGACTTTGAGGAACCAAGGGTCTGATTCAGTATAAGGCAGCTTCACGTGGCTCCTGTGTGTTCATGTGGGAAAAGTCTGCCTTCTCTGCCTCAGAAAACCAGCACTTCCTACTCCGTTTCATAAAACTTTGCTAGTCTGAAAGCAGTTAGATGTCACTGACAGATCATTCCCATCACATTTTTCCCTATAGGAGAGGGAAATCATGATGCATTCCTTTCTGTAGCTTTGGCACATGCCAGTGTTTGTGCCTGAGTATTTCTTCAGGGCACCAAACAGCTTCATGATTCAATGCCCAACAATCACTGTGTCTGACAAGACCATGCCGGCACACTGAATAGACTGTGACATTACAGACAGTGAAGCTTTGTTATCTGGCGCCTGATTATCCAGAAAGATCAGTTAACCAGCATCTCCCTGAGGGCAAGCTGGTCCCCCTCCCACATCATGTGCTTGCATCTTTGGGCATGTGTGCCCCACTCCCACCTCTCCAGCAGACCAGGTTTACGACCAAGGCCACTGCTGGGCCTCTGGCAGCTCACACTGCCAGCTCACATCATCCTTGGGAGGGTGCCCCTGCCCCCGGCCCAGAGCCTGGTTCAAGCGGCCAGGTGCCCACTTGCTTGCCTGCTACACAGGACAGCTCCATAGCTCGTGGGGAGGGGGGGAGGAAGGGAGAGGAGAAAGGCCCCACCAGGAGTGGAAGCTATTGCCACAGGTTCCCAATGGAGTGGGGCTTGGTTAGGGGGGGGCAGGGGAGAGCAACAGGCTTGAATATCTAGCACATTTGATTGACGGCAACCTCAACGAATGCCAGGTGACAAAGCTTTTACCGTCCTAGCAAAATGCCCACCATCCAAGACGGGCATGCACACGTGAAAGGATCCATGTAGGAGCTCTACGAATGAGGACTGGGGAAAGCCAGGGCCACAGCGGGAGGGCAGGGTTGGCCCTAATGGGCTCTCCAAGCTGCAACGCTTGACATTTCTGCAACAGAAGTGACTGGTGGCCAGGGCTATTTTTGGGCAGGAACGCACAGGAACGGAGTTCCGGCTGGCTCCCAAATTGGCCACGCCCAGCAGGAACTCATTAGCATAATAGGCCACGCCCAACAGCAGAAACTCATCAGGATTGGCTACATTAGGGGTGTGTGGCCTAACATGCAAAGGAGTTCCTGCTACCAAAAAAAGCCCTGGGTTTTGACAACAAACAAGGTAAACAGAATAAGAAGCAAAAGGTGGGTGTGGCTGGATGACCACACTTCTGGTAACATGGGGGTGCGGCCTAATATGCTCATGAGCTGTGCTGTCAGGGGTGTGGCCTAATAGGCTAATGAGTTCCTGCTGGGCTTTTTCTACAGAACAAGCCCTAATGGTGGCGATTCGTTTTCATGCAGAAGAGAAGAAGACAAGCCACTGAGATGGGGGCCAAATCCACTCCTGGTGACTCCAGTCACCGGAAAGGAAAAGGACTGAGAAGGAAGCCTACTCCCGCCTGCACAACCTCAGCCTAGGTCTCATTCCTTGGTTACTGCTGGCAATTGGCTTCTACCTTTCCCTGAAAAAAGGTGCATATGAGGCAGGCAGCCGCCCTGAAATGGTTCGCAGGGCATCCGGATTGCAGGCGCCTCCTACCCAAGTCCTGGCATCTGAACTACCAACCTTGCCAAACTTGTGCTTCAGGGGTAATCCTGCCTTCTGAAAGGCTGAAACAATATCCGGTTTATAGTCTTTAACTAAAATCCCCAAATCCACATCCTTGCTGTAAGGAATAATATTGCACTGCCGGTACCAACCTAAAGAAAGAAAAGAAAACAGAGATCTCTCAGCTTTGTGGAGAATATTCAGGTACGGCAAAATCATATGCGACAATCCACCCCCCCCAACCCCCCATGCAAAACATCTTATTTGTAAGTAGTGGTAGCTTTTCCCCTTCTTCTGTTCTGAAAAAACGGGTTCTGAGATTTCGATAATACGAGTTAGCCTGTATTTTTATAAACACATATAACTTGACCTTAACTCCTGTATTTTTACAAACGCGTACAACTTGACCCTAACTTGTACAGATTACATGAGTGAAGGATCTGTCAGAACTCACGTGGGAGTGACATTTCCTCCCCCCAGCCTCCCCTTTCCCCTCCATTTTGGCTCCACTGCCCCCATTACCCTGTTGCTCTTTACCACTGTCTCCTGCCTGCACACTCATTCGTTCCCCTCCACCACTCACCTCACCTCCTTCCAGTTAAGACTGAAAGATACAATTGCAAAAATCTTGCTAATTGACCTCATGTGATCTCTGCAACTATGCTGGGTGGCCTAGGCATTTTTGTTTCCGGTTGCCTAGGCAAACCAAAATGGCGAAGATCTCGCAAAGTAAGGGGTACACATTGTTAAATAAATAAAAGTACTCTAATCCAGAGCCACCATATAGACAAAAATTTCCTTAGGCTGAAGTCTCATATTCTAAGTTTCCCCAATATAACATCATGGTCTGGGGCCTGTCTACCTGAGGGACCGCCTTTCCCCATATGTTCCCCCGAGGGCACTGAGATCCGAGACACAAAATAGCTTGGTCCCCCCCTGGCCCTAGGGATGCTAAGTTAACAGCAACAAGAACCAGGGCGTTCTCCCTAGCTGCACCGATGCTATGGAACCAGCCCCCAAATGAAATTCGAGCTCTGCGGGATCTTCAACAATTCCATAGAGCGGTGAAGATCGAGCTGTTCTGACAAGCGTTCTAACAGTCCTGGCCACACTGACCGTCCCACACAAGCACTAGCACTTTGTAACAGATGCCGCCACAGTCTAATTTTAATAACTTGTATTTATTGTATTGCTTTGTATTGTTTTAGATGTGACAATCGGTATTAATTGTATACTGGTTTTAACCATTGTAAGCTGCCCTGAGCCGCCTCGGCGGGAGGGTGGGGTAAAAGTCTAACAAATAAATAAATATAAATAAATAAATCATCCTTCTATTCAAAGTGTGCTTTCCCAGTGCTTTTATGACTAGGAATACCACGAAGGAATGTATACTCTTACAAGAGAGTCGCTTTTCCAGAAGATTGGACTAGAATAGCTATTTGCTATACTAACCCTTGTTGGGAACAACGTAACACTGCACAATTAATAGCAATTTTCGGGCAAATTTGTACGTAAATAAGATCTGTGACTTTCTTTCCAAGGAGCAGCTCTGGTTCACTCAAGTGACCTGCATGAGCCAAGTGGAATTTTTTATTCTTTTCTTTGAACTGCTGACCCGCATGTGCCATACTACAAGGTGCATGTGAAACTCCCACACTCATTCAAATACGTTTGCCTTTGAGTACAAGAGCAAATGTGGGAAAGGGCACCCGTCTGAGACAGCATAAGATTAAAGCCTCTGTGCCCCTTTGAGCTCACAGAGCTAGTTTCACAGCTCTTGGAATCTTGCAGGGCTCTTTTTGTAGCAGGAACTCCTTTGCATATTAGGCGACACACCCCTAATGTAGCCAATCCTCCAAGAGCTTACGGAGCTCTTCTTACAGGAGCTACTGTAAGCTCTTGGAGGATTGGCTACATTAGGGGTGTGTCGCTTAATATGCAAAGGAGTTCCTGCTACAAAAAGAGCCCTGCCCGGGGCCCTAAGTAAAGACCATTTTTCATTCACATGGATCCTCTGTCCTGGATCACGATCATGCTTGTGCATTTTGTACCTCCTAGACACAACCCGTTAAGACATCATTTGCTAATTTGATTTCCTCACGTGTTAACCTCGGGAGCTAACATCGGAGCCAAAGAGGCCATTCCCGGTTTGAAACACAACTGCAAACTCCTGACCCAGGCATGTTCCGCTGCTCAGCCAGAATCTCACGCCCAAACTGTTCAGCATCACAGCAGCAAGGTGCAGTAACGCCTTGGCTTTTTTCCTGAACTCCACCGCATCGAGAGACATATCATCGGGATACAGCTGCAAAGGGAAAACAAAAAAACTTGTGCACACTTCCCAAACACAAGGGCTTCCCCCAAAACAAAGCACACTTCCCCAACACCTTGGCTTTCTAAGGTTATTCCCCTATTTCTTTTCTTCTCAATTACATTGTTCCACAGAGGGAATGTAAAATTAATTAATTAAGTACTATTAGGTCACAAAGGGCCACGGTGGCTCAGAGGTTAAGACACTCAGCTGCAGACCGGAAGGTATGTAGTTCGGCAGTTCGAGACCCGAGTGCCGCGTGACGCAGTGAGCTCCTGTCTCTGGCCCCAGCGCCTGCCAACCTAGCAGTTCGAAAGCAAGAAACTGCAAGTAGATAAATAGGTACCACTTTGGTGGGAAGGTAACAGCGTTCCGTGCACCTCGGCATTTAGTCATGCCAACCACTTGACCACGGAAAGGTTTTCGGACAGTGCTGGCTCTTCGGCTTGGAAACAGAGATGAGACCGCCCCCTAGAGTTGGATTTGACTAGCTTTTGAGCAAGGGAAACCTTTACCTATTCAGTCACAACCAAACTTCATGGGCTTTGCAAGGCAAAAGTTGTGCAGCAGTGGTTCATTAAGTCACAACCAAACTTCGTGGGCTTTCCAAGGCAAAAGTTGTGCAGCAGTGGTTCACCATTGCCTTTATCTGCATAGCAACCCTAGGTATTCCTTGGTGGTCTCCCATCCAACCACTGACGATGGCCAACCCTGCTTCAAGTCAGAGCTCTGACGAGGTGGAGCTAGTCTGGGCTATTCAGGCTGCTACAGGAAATTTTAGTGGCTGTTGAAGAGGCTGACTTAAGAAATGACGTTGTGCATTACTCACTATAGGTAGGTTCACACCAATAGGCCCCAGCTCTTGACTGTGGTCAAGTGGCAGGGAGGGAGGAAGAACAGTGCAGTCCTCCCCCCCCCAACAACCCATATAGGAAGTTACTTTTAAATTGCAAGTTTTCCCAACATTCCAAAGCAAAAAGTGTATACAGATACCACTGCTCACCTAGTACACAAAAGAGAAATAAGCAAGGATATGGATCAGCTAACAAATTTTGGTCCCAAATCCCATTTTAAAAATGTTTAGCTAAGATTTCCACAAGAACTACCTAGTCAGTATTTTCCTTTTACTGCTGCAGAACTTCTCTCAGCCTTTCACTAGATTGCAAAACAAGTTCCAATCCATGGCAAGAACCATTTAAAAAATTAAGAAAATTAGCCTTTTCTACCTGCCTGATCAAGTGTGCAAGATAATAATTACTTCTTGCATTCATGCATAAGGAGACACGTTACTGTTATCACACCTTGCATTTGCAACCTCTGGCGCCACCTAGGGCTAAAACTAGGTAGCAAACCTGGTTTAACAACCCTGTACTGTGGGGCTGGTTTCAAGGCATGTAAGGTTAAGTCTACTACTGGTCTGAAAAGGGGCAGAGAGAAGGGGAAAGTTAATGTATTAGGTTCAAATCTATTCCTATGGGGATTAAACATAAGCATTGTTTTACAGCCACACTCCAGAGAACCATGCAAATACTTCCAAAAATCCGGTGCTCAGAAACACAAACCCTCCCAAGTAGCTATCTGGATCCTGGCTTCCCTAACCAGCTTTAAAATACTGTATTGCTGGGCCTCTGCTCTGAACCTTCAGCCACCGGGATCCCAGGGCTATCTGAACGGGGAGACAAAATATTTAAATATTCCGATGAATATTTAAATTAAGGTCTGCTTGTAAGAGAATGCAGTCCGAAACAGAGTTGTCTTGCCTAAGACTGATTCCGCAGTGTCAGATTTCCCCGCGCCTGCACTTCTACTCATCCACGGCTTTCCCTGCTTTGCGCAGCGTGATTTCGCCCTCCCAGGCGTAAAAACGCACTTTCCTCCCTCTTGCTGCGTGGCATCCGAATCCCGTTTCCAGGAAGTTGTTGTAATCCCAGCACTGAACCCGCATCAACCTAGTGGGGAAATCTTTCTCATCCGGTGTTTTTCAGCCCTAGGTCCGCCCTCCCCTCCCCATTTGCATGCCCCACCCTCCAACCCCACGTTGCTGAGGAACAGTTCCTGGTTAATTAGCTTATTGTTTCCATTTCTTTCCATTGTTTTTTTTAAAACAGCCCAAGGGAATCACGTTATTATGCTACTTATATTGCATTCCAGCGGGATTTTTTTTTTTAAAGGATTTCATATTTTACTGTGAAGAGCGCTGCACAAACCGATGTAATGAAGTAAATCTCTTTTGGGGAGGGGGGGGAACTCATGTGCAGTCTTCCCTGAGCATGCATGGGGACTCACGATTAGCAAAGGAAACACCGCGGGAAAGCCCCTACTGCGGAAGTAGCGCAGCAGACTTGCGGCATTAAAACAGACTTTCCTGCAGAGCTTCAGAGTAATAAGGACGTACTGTGGAAAGTAAGTCAACTTGAAGTCAATGGGCTTAGAGGGTGTAGGCCCACTTAGGCTAGGCACTGCAGGCGGTTTCGTGGCTTGGATATCTAGTATAACTTAGCGGAGCCAAAGTACACTCAGTCGAGATTGTGCAACGTGGTGATGAGCCAAAGCTATAAGCAGCCCTGTCTTATAGAGTCTGCATTGCCTGACAGCCTTGATCTTCATGCAGATAAAAGCAGGCAGCAAAGATGTATGGTTCTGTCAAGGCTTGGTGGGTCACTGCACTGGGCTGGGTAGACTATGTGAGCCTGCATTACCTAGTTTTGAATGAGCGCCATGTACTGGCAAAAAGGTCATTCTTCCTTACACATACCTTAAGTTCATTAAATGAGAGACACACCACCCCTGGAACTACTTTTATGTACCTGTTTATTTAAAAATGTCTACCCTGCCCCTCCAACAGCTCAGGGCAGCTTGCAAAGAACATTACAAGGAAGAAATACTACGTTGGAAGGAATCCTTCTCAATCACCACTAACCTGAAAGAAAGACCGAGCTTCTCTGTACCTACATTCAATAAACCTCGAGTGGGACCACTCTTCAAGGAAACGAGACGGCTCTTTTGGAATCTGGACTGTTAACCCATCAAGAGAGACACTTTGTAGTTCTAGCCTGTTGTGAAAGGGGAGGGAATTACCAAACTACGAAAACAAACAAAAAAACCCAGTTTGTCTTTTACAGGTGACCCCCCCCCCCAACAACACTCACAAAGTCACTGCGGCACTTGCACAACCAGTTAACACATCCCACTTGGTTTTCACCCATCTGCTCAGCCCATCTGTGCCATAAAGAAAAGCCCAACTGTATCAGCCGTGGCAGCCAAGCAATTTTAAGTCATTTAACAGTTCTCACGCTGTTTTACAGTTGTTCCCTGTACACTGCTGTTTTTAATATTTTAGTTACAAGCCGGTGGGAGGAAAAGTGAAACACAAGCGGACAATACGTAAAAATAAAAATAGAGGGCTGTAAACCAGTTGAGTGTGGTGGCGGCTGTTCCCCTAACTGGATGCAGCAGGAACTCAGGGTCTCTTCCTTGGGCACATTAGATGTAGGTCCAGCATGGAAGCAACAGGAGGCAGCATTCCACCTTCAAAGCTGAAAGATGGACCCAAGAGACTTCACCACTTGGGGACTGTACTTTTCCTCTAGTTCCATTTAATGGCAAAATGGTACACCATTTATGTATGAAGTGGCAATATTTCTATCCCGCCTTTGCCTCAGAGGGCGCAAAGGGGCTTACAACATTTTGTCCACAAGACACTGAATAGGTGGAAGCCATTCTAATTCATCCATCCTCAAGATTCAACAGGAGAGTCGCCACCCTCCAGTTTTCACTGAAATTAGTGTTCTCGGAAGACTTTTTCTGAAGACTGGTGGGGACGGCGCTCTCATCAGCCCAAGGTCTTCTTGGGCTGATCCACAAAGCTGAAGCAGAACAGAACTTCCGAGTTCATCAGCACCTTAAAGACCAACCAGATGTTCCAGGAGATAAGCTTTCATGAGTCAAAGCTCCCTTTGCCAGAAAGCTTATACCCTGGGAAATGTTGGTGGTGTTTAAGCTGCTACAGGACTTGAATTTTGTCCTAGTGCTACAGGGTAAAAGGGCTACCTCCCCCCCGAAGGAGTAACATAAAAGGCTTGGGTCGGGGGACTGTGCATTGCTAAGGGATGGAACCACTAGCAGGAACTGACCAGAGGATTGTGAATGGCACACGGGCTCATACATGAGAAACAGTCTCTTAAGGGAGGGGCAAGTAGTTTACTTCCTTCCGTACATGGAGGTTTCTTTTAGTTATCATGGCTAAGGGCTACTAGTAGACCTATTCCTCATCGATTTGGTTAATCCTTTTTTCCATACCAGCTAAGTGAATGTCCATTCCTAGGATCTTGTGGTAGGGAATCCCAACTGCGTATTGAGTAAAATGCTTCCCGTTTGCCTCTCCTGAACCAATTTCGTCGGACAACACGTTGTAGTATGACATGCAAAACAGAGCAAAGAGTCCTACGGCTTCATTTCTCATAGGAATGAAATGTAAAAAACCCCCCGAAATCTAGCCCTTGCACCACTGATGTAACAACACGATTTATTATTGGATTTCCCCCTGTATCACGGTAAAGGAATGAGGCATGCTCGACAGCCATGCTCTGTAAGAAAACGGCAATGGTCAATTTAATTAAAAATGAAGAATGCCGCCCCGCCATTTTTCTTACTTCTCATAGGCTCCGGGGTAGTGGCCGAACTGTAGCTTTCGGAAAGGCACAAACTTCCGGTCCACGTGTCGTCTCAACCGCAGCTGACCGTGCCACAGATAGTTGCCGTTCCTCTCGTAAAAGACCACCACGTGGATGGCGTGATTGGCCAGTCGGAAGATGTAGTGCAAGGGAATCTCAGTCCCTGAGAGATCCTCCATGCCTTCTAGGCGCGGGTCTTTGCTCTGGACCTTGAGCCACTGGAATCCCACTCTCTCCGCCGCTCGGAACAAGCCCGTCTGAAAACGGAAGGGTCTGAGAACACCACTCTTGCAGAAACGGACAGAGACGTAGGACTACATTACACAGCACTGACAGCTAGAAATGACACTGCGTAACTTTTTTTTGGTTTTGTTTGCCATCTGGTCGCAGCCAACTTGAGGCAACTCCATCTGGTTTTCAAACAAGAGACATTCCAAAAGCATTTTTTTTTTTTTGCCATTGCCTGCCTCTGTGTAGCAACCCTGGACTTCCTTGGTGGTCTCACCGGGGGCAACTCTGCTTAGCTTCTATCATCTGACCTGGGCTATCCAGGTCAGGGCACTGAGCAACTTCAAACAGAGGTTTTCCAACTTTCGACCTGAAGGAACCTTTTCTGCACTGGTTTGTAAGGGTTACATGCCATGGTGCTATTTTAAGCTGCTCTGAGACTCCTTCAGGTTCTTCTTCTTCCTCTTCTCCACATTATACTAACTACCGCCACCCTGGACAAGGGACAGACTGAGAGTGCGCAACTGGCCCAAGGTCTCCCAGCAAGCTTCCAACGGACTAGAATGTATTTATTTATTATATTTATACCCTGCCCTCCCAGCCATGGCCGGCTCAGGGCGGCTTACAACAGCATAAAACCAACGATAAATAAAATAACAATCCTAAAACCATAACAATCACATTATTAAAAGGTGCTGACAATAATGACCCAGAATCTGGGAGAACTGAATTCTAATCCCCACTCTGCCACGGAAGCTTACTGGGGTGACCTTGGACCTGTCACTTTCTCTCTGCCTAACCTACCTTGCAGGGTGGTTGTGCTGAGGACAAAATGGAACAGAGAATGATGTGGTAAAGCTGCCCTGGGTCCCCTTTAGGGAGAACAGAGGGGTATAAATATCCAAACAAAATAAACAAAACAACCCTCACTCTTTCAGATGACAGCCCTTCGCTCATACAGAACACTGGCTTAATGCAAAGACCAAAAAGCCTCCTACATGACACTATTTAAAAATGAAAACAAAAACCAGTTAGAGGAATTGTACCACTTTCCAGCACCATAAACAGCCACTGAACTACTACAATTACAAACCAGTTCCTCATCTATACAAGTAAAGTAAGAAATATGAAGAACGGGAACTGAAGTTGGCATTACCAAACAGTTGATTAACTGGCTCAGTATGATTTTGTTCCTGTCCAAAACCTGTTCAGACCATCTGCTAAACTAGGAGAGCCCCTGCTTTGTGCTCTTTACTTGCCCG